GGGCACTCCAGGAAAAGGATGTGATAGCACATGCCAAACTGTGGTGCTGGAGCCTTTTATTCCTAAAGGAGATGATCCTGCAGGACTAGTGTTTGGCAGAACACAGCACAGAATCCACTGTCTTCTCAGTCTGAGAAGATGTGGTGATTCCAGTGATATTCTGCACAGCTTCAAGAGCATCACAAGAGATACAGACTCCGACTGCAAAATTACTTTTGGTTGTAAGGGGTCATTTAAATGACTCACCCCAATGTTCTGGGAGCCACGCCGATCTTCTATCTAACATATCTCTTTAAGACTCTAATGATGTGGCTTCTTGGCCCTCATTTCACAAGTACACGAGGCAGAAATGATGGGAAAAGACACTGTGTATGTGTGTGTGTGTGTGTGCATGTATGTGAATAAACGTGTATTATATATGCGATGTTTATAATGTATGTGCTTGTATGCATCTATATCAAATTTGAACATCAAATATTTCCTAAAATAATTACAAAACAGGCTTTCAAGCTTCGGCTTTTTTTCAAGAGCTGGAAGCACCATACAAATAATGTAGCTGAGGAAGGAACATTTCCCATTTCATACCAGAAGTTAGTCTTAGATTGAGGACTAGATCCCAGGTCTATGGACTCTTCGTTTATGTTTAATAATAGGGCACTCGATGACAATTCACAGTAGCCAGTTAGGGCTCTTCAATGCTATTTGACTCCACCGAGCTCATCGCTTTCATCTGGATAAGCCCTGAGGTCCCTAAGTCACCATTTCTGAGCCTTGGTTTCCAACCTCAGCACTGGTGGCTCGAACCAACAGTCTTTAAAGTCCTGGTGCAAATGTCCCCCCCCCACCCTTCTCCAAGAGCGCTAACTAGAAGCGCTTTCTGTCCTTAGAGCTTCCGACGTCCTTTGTCTGTTTCCTACTTAACAAACATCTCTATCTTGTATTTAGTTCTTTACAAACTGATTTTATCTCTCGTACTGGACTCTAAACTCCTCGAGGGTAAGACCTGTGTCAGATTTATTTTTAATTCTCTCAGCCTCTATCACAGTTCCCGGAATGCTGTAGCTTCTCAATAAATATTCATTGGATGAATAAATGAATAATGCACAAACACCATGGTCAGGACAATCTTCGTGGCTATTTGTCATTTTCAATCATGAAACCACCGTATCTGTAAGATGGATTGGTTCCTAAATAAAGCTGTAATTTCCTAAGCAGAGTGGATTCTGATCCTGATTTGTGAAAGACAACAACTACGTTGTTTAACGTTGTTAAAGTGTAAAAGCAAGGAAGAATGTTATGCTTGACAACTGTGCTCTCGCTCACTCGCTCTCCCTCCCCCTCTCCCTCCCCCTCTCCCTCCCTCCCTCTTTCTCTCTCTCTCTCTCTTTTGGTAACAGATGTCAACCTCGGTTAGATTCAACTCAACTTATTAGTGCATGGCTTTTAGCCAAAAGCAATTCACATATGTCTTAATAACAGAAATGTGTTTTTAAAAAAATGTATGTGATAAGTCACATATGGTAGAAGAAATCTGTACATCTCTCAGGCCTTGTTGTCACAATGAAAGCTTGAAGATAATTGCTGCAGAACATTAACATACAAGTGAAAGTCTCTCTGACACATTAAAGAGCCACACTTTGAACATACTAATCAAGCTTTGATACCGGCATGGCTCCAACAGACTGAGAAATACACCAGCATCTCTTGTCCTGATCACTGATCTTAAGAACATTCAATTTTGATTCTTACCCTCAGAGGTAATATTTAATGTTTTAAGGTAAAATCATTAGTGTATCCAGATACATTATGTGCTTACATTCACTAAGCATATACTTAATTTCTCCTTTATATGGAGTGTAATTAATGTGTACCACAGTCTCCCTATGGTGAAGAAAGTGGCTTACAACCATGAAGGTATTAAAAGTAAATTGACAAGTGGCTGAGAAATAGGGAAGAGGAGGCAAACCTTTAGAGAGGAAAACAGGCAAACTAAATGGATATTGTAACTCATTTACCATGGCTCTAATGGAAAGTTTGCTCAGCCTGAGTTAGATTTTGGGAAGTAACAGAATTTTAGAACGTGCATATGCCTTTTGCAAGCTATCCATCCACACGCAACTTGGAAGACAAGCAGTAAGGCTCTGGCTCTGTGCTCACTGGTTTCCAAGGCATTGTTGCCCTGTCAATGGATCTCATATCCATAATGACTTCAAAGATAGTAAGTTTAGAGTGGTCTCTTTGCTCTGAATGAGAACTGTGTGGTACATCAGCCCCAGAAAGTCCAGAACACAGGGAAAGGGCTCAGTCAATGCTTCCTCAATGTTTTAAAGGACAAGGGTGTGTGGGGGGGTGATAGTTTAACCCTTACAGTCAGGGAAAAGTGCACCTTTGTGCCTTTTTCTACCTGACCAGCTAGAGCATGGGTCTGCAAAGGTTTTCTGTAATGGGCCAGATAGTAAATAGTTTCCGTTTTGTGGTTTGTACAATCTCTGTCGCAACTAATCTCTGCCACCATGGCACAAAAGGAGCCATAGATAATATGGAAACAAATGAGTATCGCTGTGTGCCAATAGAGCTTTTTTTATAGACACTGAAATTTGAATTTCATGTAATTTTCACATGTCACAAACGATTCTTCTCATTTCTTTTCCCCAACCATTTGCCAAACTCTGCACCAGAGGATGACATCCAATCACACATATGATCATCTGCACCAATCTGTGTTCAGGCTTTAGTTGTAAATGCCTCCAGACCTCGACTTTTCCAGCAAGACTATACACACTTTCCATTGTATGCTCAATCAAATGTTAATTCTGACATACAAGAGCAAGCCAGTACCTGGTCCGAGGCAGAGCAGCGAGAATGAGCCAGAGCAACGTGGGAGCACTTTATACCTGGCATGACTCAAGAATAGGATAATGGATGACTTGATCAGTTACAACACATGGCCCCCTCCGATCTGACACTCTAGTGTGGGGCCACCAGTCTCATTAAGCCTCCAGGCCAGGTTTCTGGAAGGACTGCTCTCTGGGATGTGTCCAATTTGTTTACCTGTTCATTCATTCAGGAGAACATGTATTTGGGGTCTCAGTGCACCCCATGTAACTGAAATTCTCGGTCAGACATCAGAAACAGAAAGAGGGCCACTATACATAAAACTTCAAAAAACTCTGCTTCTGCTTCTGCTCTGCTATCGGGCAGTGTTCACGAACCATGCTCTGGGATTTCTGTCCCTGAGCTGAGGTCTTGAAGAGGTCTTCTTCTTCAAGTGCCCAGTGGTTGTGGCTGGGCAGTTGGGGTACCTATTGTGAGCGCACATGCAGCGGGACACCCAAATGCACACCGAGAACAGTTCCTTATTCAGTTAGAAGACAATTCTAAACATCTACCGGTTGATCGCGACTGAGGCTTACTATTGAGCAGATTTTCAAATCTATTTAAAGGTAAAACGCTCCATATTCTATTACTAATCATTTGGTTCTTCTAGTTTTCCTGTTTTCTCTTTACGATATTCCTTAAAGTGCTAGACGTTAGATGGAGTCTGCACTGTGAATTAACCAGAGCTCATAAAAAATATAATTATCTGTAGGGTCGAATCCTCACAAGGAGCAGAGAGAAAACTGGTCCCACTCCAGGCCACTAGAGTCTGATTGCACGTAGCCCCGTATACTACCAATGGGCTGTCCTGTGCATGCCAAGATGGAGCCTGAGCCTTACTTCCTATCAGGACGGCTTGAACTTGGAGATGTTTGTCCCACTGAGGGCCTGGGTTTACACTCCTCCAGCCCTTGCCCCATCCCTTGTGACCCGGGGCACACATCTGCACACTGGAGGACTGGAGGGAAGGGTGCAATCAGACTAGGGGAAAGAAGATCACTAATGGCCCAACCAGGGACCGGCAGTCCTGGCCTTGGCCTCATTAGCACCACCCTCTAATCCCGCCTTCAGGGCACAGACAGAAAAGAAATCAGGCTGCAGAGAAGATTTCAACCCCAATCAAACAACCAGGCAAAAACTCAGCTACCGGAAATACTCCCATAGGATGACTATAGCATAGTATATCTCCAGACTACAGATGCTCCTCCAGAGGCTACAAAAGCCGATAAGGAATATTCTGTGGCCTACGAAAAATTAAATTTAAAAACAAAGTACACAGAAACTTTTGGAAAAAATGAATTGGAGCCTGGTACCCACTACAGTGAAAGTCAGCTATCATAAATTAACACAGAGCTCCTAGAAATGTGAGATTGTGATAACCCAGCAAAGAGAGCAGGACTTCCCGAGGCCACGTGGCTGGTGGGCCTGGTCCGCATAACACTGCACTCAGATGTCACAAACCCAAATGACAAAACAAACATCCTTCTTAATTTGAAAGTCTCCCTTCTGGAAGAGACAGGATGTCTAAGATGTACTATGTTTAAAAGAGTGCTGTGCTGCTTGTTTATAATTTAAGAGTGCCCCATAAAACGCCTTGGAAATAGCTCTCTGTTAGCTAGAAAAACCTTTGGTTAAATATCTTTTTATGAGCTTTTCATTAACAGAGTAGCAAGGCCTTGATGCCAAGGTGCCAAACCTCCCCACGTGGCTGGAAATCACTTGGCACATTTTCAGCCATTTCAGTCTCTGTCATAGGTCCAAGGTTTGCAATTAAAAATATAATCTTTTTAGCATGTGCAAGACCCAAAGGCTTGAAGTACCATGCATTGAATAGGATTATAATAGTATTTGGCAGCTCTTCACGGATGGCACATATTAATTTCTGTAAACTGGGCACAACTTGGGGCACTTCCTCATCAGGACCACAGGAAAAAATCAAATCAAAATCAAAGCTAGTCCCCGTTCAATTGGAGATTTGGGTTTTGTGTTTTGGTGGTTTCCCCCCTTGTTTGTTTTTGTTTTCGATCGTCATAGAGATGAACTCAAAATTCAAGGTCTCTTTTGCCACACACGCACGGAGTCCATTCAAATTAAAATTTCCAAAAAATAAAAAAATAACTTACTTCACAGGATTATTCTTAGGTTTCGCCTTTTCAACAGCCTGTAAACAGAAGAAAAAAATGCAATTAGACAACATTAGCAGGCATAATCTTCACAACTAGTTACCAAAACAATAAGCAGTATAAGACGCTCTTCCAAAACATAAGGACCTAACTGAAGCAGGCTGCTTGCGATAAGCAGACTGGAGACACAGAGAGCAATTTTCCTCTCTCTCTGCCTTGCACTCAGATCTTAGCCCCTGGGTGGGCCTGCTTGGGTTGTTATGACAGGGTGGGGAGGCAGGCGTGTGGGCGGGGGGAGGAGGGATGATCATGGGCACATCTAGGACTTCGAGATTTGTGGTGAGGACCCGTTTACCCTGTGTGACTCCTGACACCTGGCTGCACCTGCATGGTGAGAGCAAGGCCAAAGTAGCCATTTCTAAAATCATTTTTATTAGCGGACACCACAAAAGGCCAAGGGATGACCGACTGCTCGGATCAATCTCCTCCTGTGGAACCTTTAAGAAAACACACACCAAATCATCGAAATGAGGAAATCTCTGGGCCTCTCGGCCTGTGTCGCCTTAGACATGGAGCCTGGTTCCAGTTTATTGCTGAACCCATTGATCTGTGTACAGTCCATTTATCATTCATGAAAAGAGCTAGTGATCTTCACAGTATATTAGAAGAAACAACTCAGATCATCTGTCAACAGCCCTCTTATTTCTGTTTCCCTCTCCACAGGGATTGCATCTCCTTCGATTCTTCTGGAATTAAAATGTTGCTAAGCAACACAGCTGGGGGCGCTGATGGCAGAATGGCTACAGTCTATCAAACTGTTTAAGCACCTGGAGGGTTTTAGTGATGATTTTTTTCATACTTCTGTAGAATAATTACGTAATCAGAACCAAACTTGTACTCCCCTAGACTTTTGCAGAGTATAGAAATAATATTTAATATGGAGAGCGTCGAAGCAGTGGTTTGGCAATCTCCAGGATCTTCAGACCCTTTTAAAAAGTGTCCATTCGGAGACCTTTATATTTGTGACTCCTGGACATGGGCAACGGCAGCTACTTATAACACCGGACTTGGCATTCTGGGTGACCGGTGTGGAAGTAAGTACCCCGGACCCTTCCATGCACAACAACAGCTCAACGCACTCCGGAGCCATTTTTTAAAAATAAATGAAACACTTCTCAATTTTAGAGATTAGCGTTGGAAATTCAAGTCCTTCTCTTCTATTAAATCTCAGGTTCTGTTGCTAGGTAAATACCCATTAATATTTGGGCACTTTCTTTGGCTCTTGGTGGCAAAAATCATCTTCTCACCATCTGTGCCTGAGGTTGAATTTTGGCAAGCGATGGAACAGCAAGCAAGCGAGAGCGGGAGGTAACAGGTAAAAACGATAAAACAAGCAATATGTGTGTAGCCGGCCCAAGTCACGTCTCACAGGTAGTTAGGATACGAAAGTCTGTCCCTGAGCAGGTCTGGCCCTGGAAAGGATGTGGGAAGGAACAGGCGGACCCAGTCTGCCCACCCGTGCACACCTACACCTTCCTTCTCTACCACCCTTTCTCCCCTAGTCCTGGCTGCTTTGGAATGGCATATGGTAGGGGCGGAAGACATGTCACTGTGGAAATCACAGGAACCCACTTTCCCCTGTCCCTTACAATCCAAACGAGTCTGTTCCTGAAGACTTAGCTTATCGTAAAGTCACAAGCATGGTGTTCAAGGGGTTTCCTTTGAAAGCAGAAGACAGGGAGGGAGAAATCACAGTGACATTGCTTAACCTAGCTTTCACTCAGTGACACGGTTTTTGAAAATGTCTTCTCTTCTCTGTGCCTCAGGACTGTCAATTAGACCCAGTTAGTTTTCTCTGATCAGGAGAAACATAATCATGTTCAAGGTCAGTTTCTTTGAAACCTATGTCTTTTCATACAGCCATCATAGGAAAATAACTTCATTCAAATGAATGTTTTCTGGGCTGCTTAGCTATTGATTGAAAATGTCTCTGCTGAGAGGTTCTCTTTTCTTTGGAAATTAACTCGGGATCATTCCAGAGTGCCAACAACTTTAGTCAGACGTGCTCACGTCATCCTCCTGTGTGCTCACCACCTTTCATCTCTAAGCTAAATGGTCACAGGGAGTCTCTGCCAGACCCGAGACAGAGCTCGCAATTTGTGTTCTTTGCTTCCGCTATAATGTGACACTGTGTTCAGCCCGCCATAGAGAATTATTCAACTCAGAGACTTCGAACGAAAGTTAAGTGAATTATTTGTGGGAGAACTATGTATGTCTTTAAGGTCTAAGAAGTAGTCTACAAAAAAAAAAAAATGCAAGGAGAACATTCCTCTTTTGAGATAACGGGACATGAAAACACCAATCCCATGTTCCGAAATGTGCAAAAGGAGGGGAATCAAAATGAAATGATCTCGTGTAATTCATCCACATTAAGAGGGTTGCATATTGGGATTACAGCTCATTTTGAGTTTAAAAACATACATTAAAGTAATTTAAACTGATTGGAAGATGGAGGCTAGATAGTTAACACTCACGCTGCTTTAATTTGCAACATCTATATGCTTTTTAAAACCTATATTCTACTTATTTTGTGCCACGTTCCCCTAACATGATACTTATCTTGCCATTAAGGAAGCTCTAGTATAAGAAAGGATGATACGATAAATTAAAATGATAGAAAATAGATTCCACTGTGGTGTGGCGAGAGGCTGCAGGCTACGGTGGAAAGAGTGATGAGTGGGAAATCCAGAAACCCGGGATCGGCACCCAGTTTCGCTGCCTACTTTCATCAGGACTTTAGCAAGGTGGCTGACACTTCTGAATCTGTTTCCTCATTTTAAAACTGAAGATAATCATTCCTGTCCCATCTATATCAAGGATGGGTGGGAGGAGCCAGCATCCACGGCGGCGCTCTAGAAACCGTCGTGCGCTATGTAAATGCATTGCCTGCGGACCCTGCTTTCGGGCTTCAGGGCACACGTCTGCACGGCCAGAGAGTTTATGGGCTTGCTGACTTGGGGACCCGCTGCCGTATTGAACCCATGCAGTTATTCCAATGAGGATTATAGGAGCCACTCTGTTCCTCTCTCCACATCAGGAGCAGTTCTGGGCTAAATAGAATGTTTCTGTCTGAGAAGTCTGACTCGAGGGAGATCTGGATGTGTTCAGATCCTGACCCGCCTAGGCCAGCAGGAGAGACCCCTGCGCCTTCACACAGGCCTGTCCTGAACCTTCTCGGGGGCTGGTGCAGGTGCATATACTCAAATCTCTCTGTCTCCCTCTCTCCCTCTCCCCTACCCCTCCTCCACAAGGCAGCCTAGGAAGCCTCCCTCCTTTCCAGGTGACTCCTCCGGCAGTGGTCCCCCCTTTCATACCTCACCCCAGGAGGAGGGCACTTTGCTTTTTCACTAACATTTGACCCTGAGGTGAGCCTCCTCTGTCATATGGCATCTTGAAAAATTATATGCCCAGGGAGAAGGCACTTCTCTCATTCCAAGGAGTGTTTATGAACTGATTCTTCTCTCATTACTAGCATTGTACTATTCATGGTATCCTGCTACGCGGCAAATTTATTTCCTCAGGAGGGATGATGTGGCTAAGGACATGCTCACAGTTGCTCACTCATTAAATCTATCTTCCTAAAAATAAGAAGGACCTTGTCTTTCTGTTATGCAGAGAATCTTCTGGCTCCACTGAAGCCCAAGTGACTCAGGGACTATACTGAATTATGTGAACCATAAAAACTATAGAGCTATCATGAGAAAATAGAAGGAAGGAAGGAAAGAAAGAAGGAAGGAGAGAAAATGGCTATCTCTTGAGTCCTGTCCTCCACGGCAAACATGTTTTTTTAGGGAGAAAGTGGTACATATAATCTATAGATGGATCTAACTTTAAAAAAAATTCTTTGGTAATTCTGTCCCAGTTTTATTCTAATCCAACAAACACATATACTACATTTATTTTAAAAAATGGGAGAATCTTGGGGCGCCTGGGTGGCTCAGTCAGTTAAGTGTATGACTCTTGATTTCGGCTCAGGTCATGATCTCGGGGTCCTGAGATCAAGCTCCGTGTCCAGCTCCACACTCAGCGGGGAGTCCGCTTAAGATTCTCTCTCTTCCTCTCCCTCTGCCCCTCTCCCTGATCACAGGCTCTCTCTCTCTCAAATAAATAAATAAGCCTTAAAAAAAAATTTAAAAATGAGAGGATCTTTTCAGGTTTTAAGAAGCATCCCCTGAACCGTGGTATCCAGACTTACCATAATACCTTTCCCCTGCCCCCATATTGGCAGAAAACAGACCCAATAGAGTATGTTTCCTCTTTGTTGAGACTGTCAAGGTGAGCGCTTAGAGGGCCTAGACATACTGTAGTGGTGGACTCATTTTACAGGGCTATGTGTTCAGGTGCTGCTTTTTTCCTTAATCAATAATAATGCTGCCAGTCAAGCATAAAATGTGATTCTACTAGCTTTTACCTTTCCTGCTTATACGTTTTTTTCCTGGTGTTCTGCTAGCAGATGCACCCAAGTTGGGTCTATACAATACATTTCTTTTTTTTTTTTTTAAGATTTTATTTATTTATTTGATAGGGAGAGACACAGCGAAAGAGGGAACACAAGCAGGGGGAGTGGGAGAGAGAGAAGCAGGCCCCCCGAGGAGCAGGGAGCCTGATGCGGGACTCGATCCCAGGACCCTGGGATCATGACCTGAGCCCAAGGCAGACGCTTAACGACTGAGCCACCCAGGTGCCCACAATACATTTCTTGATTAAAAAAAAGTGAGAAGTCAGTCATCCAGATAATTTTAAATAACTGAACATTGGGCATTATGGACATGAGACAGAAGAACAATCGATTGCATTGCTTTTGAGTTTCTATGTTTTGCCTTTTTTAACTTTTCACAGGGCTGGTCCATGAAACACAGCCATACCTTAACCTAGTGACATGTATTGGTAAATTGTATTGATCGCTTAAGTTCAGAAGAGAAAACTCCTCTATTAACAAATGAACTCATCATTAGGGTATTCAGATGGTCTAAAATCA